TTAATGATCTTCCACCCATTATTTGCTGTTCTGCCTTCAGGTGCTTTGGACAATAGATCAGCTTTTTTGGTAACAGCCCCTCGAGTACTGGAAGACTGTTTTCATATTACTACTAGTTCTTCTCTTTCATTAACTACCCATACTCAGTTCCTTCAACTGTTCATCATATGTTTCAGCCTCCAGACCCCTTATCATCTTCGATGCTCTTCTCTGCACTCTCTCTAGGGTCTCAACATCTTTTCAATTCATCAATTCATCTATTGGCAAAAAAGAAATGTTATTCCCTAAGAAATCCACTTTAACAAGACACAATAATACTCTCAAATGCCAGTGATTGTATTTTGGAGTATTCAATAGTTTTTTTAAACTGTGTCAAATATTCACCACAATGAGATTATTTTATATTCAAGTCAAAACATAAGTGATAATCTGCCAAAAAAATCCCTGGATAGAACACAAGCACTGAAAGCTACTCAGGGGTTCTCCCTTTCTGACTTTATTTCTTTTGATATAAATAAAGATGCTATATTTCACCAGACCTGTTTGTCATCTCAGTCAAGTCTAGTGATAGCATACGTTCATTAAATATTTTAAAAAATTGTGACATCAGACTTGGTCCACTTTGTTTGTGGCCAATGTCCACACCAAATATTTGAGGTGGGGGGACAGAACTGAAAACTTCACATAATAAATATGTAATAGTCAGTCATATCCTTTTCTTTATTTTTGCTACTGAATTGTTTGTTGTTTTTGACACTGTATTCAACTATTTTAGGATTACAGTGTTCATGAGTTTCCCATCTGAAAAGTGCTGGGAAATCATGCCACCAATTTTTGATAATAAAGGTGGTTTTCAGAGACTGTGAAAAGGGAGTCAGAAGAAGAATTAATCTGGTTGCTACAAGCTGCTGAGACCTGCAATATCTGTGACAGTTATTAATATTCAAACTGCATGATTACAACAAAAATTATGGTAGTCAAAGATATTACAGGCAGTCAATGCCCTGAGCTAGTAATAGATGCATAGAATCACATGCTGCTGCTATATTCTGGAAGCTATTTGAAACTAAAAGACATGCAGATAACAAATTAGGCCCCTTAATTAATTTTGCTCAATTTTCCTTGCCCCCACTCCTCATCCCCAATTACCCCTGCAAGAAAACAATGAAAAATGAACTAGATGTTGTTGTTTTACCTAGTTTGTTGTTGCCTAGTTTGGGTAATGAAACATATGCAAGAAAACAACCAAGTTCAGAGAGCACCAAGGACCCCTCATTTCAACCCTGGACTACACATATCCTCCTTTATTGGTACAATGAAGAATAAAATCTGGCTGCCTTTTTCATTTTTTTTTTCCTGGCTGAAATGGTTTGATTACAGCCAGATTAAATTCCGAAGGGTAATTCCAGAATATTTTTTCTGTGGTTTGTGCCTCATCTCTGCAATAGGACAAAATAACAATAGAGGCTCCAACAAAGTATTTTCTTTCAAAACTGCCAGACTCAACTGCCAGAGAACAAAGCTAAGGAATCTCTAAATAACTCTGTGATGCCCCCATCCATTAATATATTTAATCAAATACATGAAAAGTAGAGAGCCGCCCTTCCCAGGACAACTGTGATGACCTCGCCAAAGTAGCTTATAACAATGCAGTTATAAGCTGCAGTTTATAAGCAGTTATAAACAGCAGCACTGGATTTGCACGGTTCTGAGTGGCAATGGGCCAGGAGTTTGTAGCCATTCCAGAACAGCCACAATTCACACACAAACCTAGAACACTTCCCTGATAGACTGGGTCGATCAACTACAAAGCATTTGGCTGATAGTTTGCAAAGCCCTGGAGGAGGCATGTGAAACAAGAAACAAGCTGACAAAAAATGCCCTTAAACCAAAAGAATTTAACATTGGAAACAAAGTCTATTTGTCCACCAGATACCCTCAGTCCAGATAACACTTGAACCTAAGTACACTGGACTATTTGCCATAATTAAAATAATCAATCCCGTAACAGTACAATTACTGTAGACTTGCCAAAAACCTCAAACGCATTTTCCCAGTTTTCCATTATAGCTTGTTAAATCCGGCAATCACTTCACCCTTGAGCGATTAAATCACTTCCTAATCAAAAGAGAGCAATACTTTGAGGTCAAAGAATGAGGTGATAAAATGACCTCATTTTATGGCAGGATGCTAGCGACTTAGACTTGTATACCACTTCATAGTGCTTTACAGCCCTCTTTAAGTGGTTTACGATGTTAACATATTGCCCCAAACAATCCTCATTTTCCCAACCTCAGAAGGATGGAAGGCTGAGTCAATCTTGAGCTACTCAGAATCAAACTCCTGGAGTGAGTAGTGAGTTAGATGGCAGTACTGCGTTCTAAACACCACACCACCACGGATTTTATTATTTATTACATTTAATTCAACATGTGAAGAGTAGTGAGCCACTCTTCCCATCCTCTCTTCTCTTAGTCATGGATGAAGAGGCCGTTTGTATGTTTAAGGACTGGGTGTTTGCTGTAGGAAAACTTCATGAACATTCATACATTTGCCAAATGGAGACTTCCAAATTAGCCATAAATAGTCATACGTAGAGATTCACTACAGAAAATTAACAATCATAATGTAAGCACAATGTCTATCTCTTTTCTTATGTTATTACATGACTATCTGAATTGACTAGAGATTAAGCAGCTGTGGCTTAATTCTGAGCTGCTGCAAAGCTTCATATCAATGTGATATAAAAGTTTCTGGAGGAGTTGAAGCTAGAAGATAAAAGATAACATTGCAGCCATCATAATTTGATCTTATACACAGATACAGTAAACCATATCCTTTTTTGATATGGTTAGCTGGCATTGTACAAAATGATCATTTACCTAGTGACTCTGAAAAGAAAACATATTTTCTTGGGGAAAATAAGGAGGGTTCAAATTTTATCATGAAAAGGGGAAATATGTTTATTCTTTATAATTTAATTCATTAGTTACAGTACGTAACTTCACCAAGCTGACTAGTAGGACCATTAATTTTCCACATTATACATCTGTACATGTCCTTTTTAAAATTCATTGTCTTTTAGTGATGGATTAAGTAAGAACGCTGCATTATTATAAGAAACTTGAATGTGTTTTTCCAGATGTTTTCATTTAAGACAGCAGAATAGCCAATATAAAACAATCCATCAAAACCTATATAGGTTCAGAACTATGATTATTGAACCTGTGCCACTTTAAACAGCTTTAATGAAAGCAGCACTGCAACAGAATAAGCCTACAGACTTTAACCTATAATACTTTGCTTGAGAATAAACTTTACTGACTTCATGGAGATTTAATTCTAAGTAAATATGGACTCAGACAGCAACAGTGGTGAAGGGATTACCATTGGAAAACTGGAAAGACACATCATTGTGTGTGTGTGTGGGGGGGGAAATCTAATAATAATTGACACTGACTTGATGGCACATAAACAAACACACAAAGAGAAAATCAAGTTATAACACAGGTACAGGATAATTTTGTGCAGGGGTTAATCATCCTTTTAAATAATGTTTAACCAATAACTTTATAATATTTTTAAAAGTTTCACAAAAGGGGTGAGACACTGGAATTTGTGGCCCTCACACACTTTTGATTCTTGCTAATGATGACTCATACGTTAGTCACCTCATGTTTGATTACTGTAATGTGATCTTCATGGGCTGCCTTTGGAAGCTGAAGCTGGTCCAGAATGCAGCACCACACATTTTTGGGTGCTTCTCATTATGCTCATTTCTCCGTGACCGACACTGATCCCCATGACGCTTCTAATTGTAATTCAAGATGCCAGTTATGACCTATACAGCCTCCATGGCATAGGGCAGGGGTGTCAAACTCAAGGCTTATGGGCCGGATCCGGCCCATGGGGACTTAGATCTGGCCCACGGGGCTGTCCTGGAAACAGTGAAGGGCCGAATCGCGGCCTCTGCCAGCAAAAATGGAGCTCAGGAGGGCTGCGTTTTCGCTGGCAGAAGGTTGCAGGAGTCCGTCCCAGCCAAAAATGGAGCTCGGGAGCCCGTTTTCGCTGGCATAGTGTTCAGGCCACCACAGGTGCCCCTGAGTAATGTCAAGCTGACCATGCCCCCTGACCACACACCGCAGCCCCCCTCAGGTCAAGCACAACCCTGATGAGGCCCTCAATGATATCGAGTTTGACACCCTGGCATAGAGCCAGGCTAACTGCTGGACCACTTTTGTTCTATTGTTTCTTCTCATCTCTCCTGAGCTAATAGAGAAGACATCCTCCACATCCCTTCTGTTAAACAATCCTACCTTGTTGGACTCTGGAGATGTAACAGCAACCACTCTATGGGACAACCTATCCCTGGAAACTGGGATGGCCCCAATCCTTTCAGCCTTCCTACAAGTGCTAAAGATGTATTTGAAAAACCAAAATCTACAGTGGCTGGCTTTATATATGCAAGAGAAATTGATCGTTATTTTGATTACAGCAATGGTTTGAGACCATTGATGATTATGCAGTGAGAACTCAGAAAAACCTGAATGGCGAAGCAAAATTGACCATTGCAGTGATATATAACCGCGTGATCCTAGCAATTTATGACTGGTCGCATCCAGGGCCGGATTTTCCTATAGGCTAACTAGGCTTCAGCCTAGGGCCTCAAGATCAAGAGGGGCCTACATTCAAATTGTTAGCAAAATTAAAATTACACTTTCACTATAGGTGAAAGGGCCTCATAAGTGGAATAGCCTAGGGCCTCTTTTCATCTAAATCCGGCCCTGGTCGCATCATATAACCCCGGGGTAACAAAAATGATAATAATAAAAAAGTTGGCCATTGGCCACCATAACTGGATTCACACAGCTCGTTGAAACAGAATGCCGTGCTCGGTTATAGTTCTGGCAGCAACTCGGTTTTGACTGGAATTCCCTCCCTCACCCCCCTCCCCTTCCAAATTTAGAGAGGGGGAGAGGAGAGGGTTGATCCAAACGCTCCCTCGCTCGCTCTCCTTCTAGCAGTGGAGGTGGAGAGTCCCAAAGCCAGCCAGCCAGCCAGACGGAGACGGGAGGATTTACAAAGTCTTTTTGGAGGAAACGCCGCCAGAAGCCACTTCCTGCCAACTTGCGGTGCCGCGCGCCTCGAGCCCCGAACTTTCCTCGCGCCGCCTCGGACTGGAGCGGCTGCGCGGCAGGAGCGCTTCTCTTTCGGGGACGCACCAAACGGTGGGTGTATTGGAGGAAAGCGGGCGCCCCTTGGAGCCCAGGTTTCGGCGCTTTAGTTTCTGCCAGCACGGGAGAGGCGCGAGATGGGAAGGCGGAGGAGAAGCAGCGTCCTAAAGCGAGGCTGCCGTCTCCGCACACAACCCCCCCCCCCTTTTTAAAAAAAATTTATTTTGTGGAAAGATAGTGAAGCAAAGAAGCTCTTCTGGTAGCGCCTAAACCGAAGCCGCCGAGTTGAAATGTTCTGCTTGGAGTCGGTTTAGCTGCAAAAGAGGCGGGCAGCTCTTACGCCCACCTAAAACCGGCCTCAAGTCTTGGTTTTGTCTGCAATTAGGAGAATAGACATTTCTGATTTCTGGCCAAATTCGAGAAGAACTGTAGGCTTGAATTGTATCAAGGAGCCGAGAGAGACTGGTATGGGGAGGGGGGTGCAGAACAACTGGAGAAAGGCTACCTAAGTCCTCCGCCCCCCCCCCGCTCTCCTGCCGCTGCCTTTTAAACTGCCTTCCCTCCCCCCCCCAACACCTTAAATTGCCCACCTGCGCGGCTGCAGGCATGTCGGAAGGTGCTTCCCTTTGATCCCACCGACCCATTACCGCTGAGATCCAACGTCCACCAGGGACAGTGTAAATGTTGAACTGAATGAGCCGTTCCCCAATTTGGAGCCCTTCAGGAGTATTGTACTACAAATCCCATCTGTCGGCCAGCAGAATGGGAGTTGCAATACAGTGTATCCGGAAACCGACACGGGTTGGATACGCAGTTAAGTTTTTGCCTTGAAGTACTGAAGTTCTCGAGCAAAACAACCTCAGATCCCTTCGAATTGGAAGGCTCTTTTTCCCCCCTTGTGAGTTAAATGGGTGGGAGGGCGGGGGGGGGTTCGTGTTTTTCTGTGAAATGAACACATTTCAAAGAAATGTGAAAAAGTAAAAGTAAAAAATGTGATTCTAATGCCTCCTCATTCCTCTTGGGCATTTGTCTCTAAGATGGAACAGCACAAAAATTATGTGATCTGTGAATGTCTTTGACTTCAATGAATTTCTGTATAATAATGTGTTTAGTCAGTTAATGTGTTTATTCAGAACAATTTTATTATGTCAAAATATGTTTGCATTCTGGAGTTTATAGAAACTTCAAAAGAAATAAATCTATTGCTTAGCCAAATAAAAAAACCCCATGTGCCTGGATTTACATCAGTCAGTATTTTAGTTCTAAAGAATAAATCTATTTAATTTGAATGCAACTCCAAAAATCACATACAAATTTAGTTGACATCCAGAAATACATGAACTAGCAACTACATGATAATTATAACAACTAGTTTACAGTTTGAATAGCTTTAAGTATAAATTAAATCCATTTAAATTTTGTTTTTGCTCTAGTGCTGCTCTACACTTTTTGAAGTATGGTCATCAACACACTACCAAAAGGTTAGTTACGAGTATTTACTGCTGTCAAAGTTGCACACCTTTGATTTAGCAGTAAATATCACATCATTCAATTTTCAACCATTGTCATTATTGGTTTTGCTAAAATATTTTGTTAGATTAAATTAATTTTAGATTAGAATAAGTTTGATTTACTTTTCAGTGTATACCTTACATGGGTACAACTAACATTCAGAAATTAAGTTCTAAGCAGGCACATATAGCTGTATTGTGTACTGTGGCAAAATAGTTGTGTCTTAAAATCCATTTATTTCAGTGGGATTTAAATCAACTAATTTTTATTGAATTTAATATCTTTAAGACAGTAATAGTTTTATTAAAGCCAAGACAACTCAACTTAAAATATAGCCAATGTGTTGATTAAGGAGCAAGTTCAAGTTTCCTCAGCCATTGAAGCTCACTGAGGTACTTTCGTTCACTCACTCTCTGTCAGACCACCTGCCTCCCTGGGTAGTTGTGTGGTAAAATTGGAGTATAAAATGCACTGTAAATACCTAGTGCTCCAGAGAAAATATGGGATATAAGTCAGGGTTGAAATGCTGCTGGCTCCATCCGGCTCGCGGGAGCTGGTAGCATTGACAGCGGGTGGTTCGGAGAACCGGTAGCGCCAGTGGCGGGAGGCTCAGCCTCTCCCAAACCACGATGTCATCACGTCCCAGTTTGACCATCTGCGCATGCGCAGGTTTGTGCATGCGCAGATGATGGTGCACACGCAGACAGCGCAGCGCATGCACATCAGTGAACCGATAGGAAAGGTAAGTATATTTCACCCCTGGCATAAGTCTAAGAAATAATAATTTAGGGTTATCAGATCATTGTTGCAAGGATATAGATAACCATTAGATGGAGGCAACGGTACATAGAACCATTTTTCTTCCATTTAGTGGCATAGGCATAAAGAAACTAAGGATGAAATGTGTCATCAGAACACAAATACCATGATTTATATATTATATGGATGCTGTAACCCAAGTATATAATTGCATGGTGTCAATATTGTAGATGTTGCCCGCTATGAGTCCTTATGATGTTTGCATCCGTTTAAAATGGAGGCATAAACATATTGCCTTAGAAACAAATGCAACAATGTATTCGTTCTGAATGAATTTGTTCTGTATTATAATTATTTAAGCAAACCAAAGATGGAGTTTACTGAATACTATTTAGTTTTCTTTAGTTAGCAGTACTGCAGCAGTATAGAATATAAGTAGAAATTCAGCACCCTGTTGAAGAAAGTTGTCTTAGACGCAGTTCCTAGAGAGAGAACTAGAAAATAGAAAGAGATCACAATAGACACCCACTACTTCTGTCCAAAGAGCTTGAATAAGTAAAAAAGAAAAAAAAGCACTTCCTATATGAGCCCATAACTGTGGAACCAAGACTATTATGGATTAGGCAAATAGAAAGAATAATTGGATGTTATTAGGGAAGATGGGAAGTTTCTGAAGAAGTACTATGCAAAATACAGTGGCTCAGAACATGGATTGTTAGGAAGAGGGAAATGGTGAAGGAAAGGCAGTTGATCACATTAAAAATTTTCTGTTGTATGCGAATGTCAGCAAATAGGAATAATTTTCCACGCTTACTTCTTTAGATCGTAACTATTGGCACTGAATCAGAAATTGTAAAGCTAGTAATATACTAAAATGATCCATTTGAACATGAAATCCTGATTAGGGTCACATGAAAGTTATCCCATGCATTATATTGAATCACCTTTCTATAGGTTGCTCTGGAACTAGATCCTGAACTTACATCTCTGAAGTAAGTCATTTTTCTGAAGTGAGGCAAAATTTCTGTTGCTAAATGAAAAAATTGTGAAGTGAATTTTGCCCCATTTTATGACCATTCTTGCCACAGTTGTTGAGTGAACCACTGCAGTTGTAACTTAGAAACACAGTTGTTAAGTGAATTGGCTTCTTCGTTGACTTTGCTTGTCAGAGTCTCAAAAGGGGATCACATGCCCCTGGGACATTGCAACCGTCATAAATATGAGTCCGTTGCCAAGCATCTGAATTTTAATCATGTGCCCATGGGGATGCTGCAACAGTCTTAACTGTGAAAAACGGTCATAAGTCAGTGCCATTGTAACTTTGAACGGTCACTAAATGAACTGTTAAGTGGAGGACTACTTGTAATTCAGGATATTGAAGACAGCTTAAACTTGTAATAAAGCTAAATATTCATTTGAACTGCTTGAATTCTTGATTTCCCATGCTTGACATTTTTGTTTTCTGATTATCTATTTTCAAAGTAAAAATATTTCTCTTTTTTTTTAAATTAAATAGAAGCTTTGATTACAATGCTAATACTACAACATAAATATTATTTTTCTTTGTAGGTTTTTAAGTAAAACATATTTTATTGATTTGGAAGATTTAAAAATGGAAACATTTCATTTTTGGATAATCTTGGGACTTTTTGTAACTGGATCTGTCATCAGTGAAGGTTCAGAAAGAGACTTTTCCAGCCTGAATGACTCTGGAATCTCTGCCATAGAAATGGAAGATAAATTAATTATTCCTGCCAATCATTCCAACACTAGCGAGAGTAATTGTCTAAAAAGTCCCAGAATGACTAATACTTTTAAACATATCAATACAGTAATTTCTTGTGCAATATTCATCATTGGGCTTGTTGGGAATGCAACTCTTCTGCGGATAATCTATCAGAACAAATGTATGAGGAATGGACCTAATGCATTGATAGCCAGTCTGGCCTTGGCAGATCTCATCTACATCATCGTAGATATTCCTATCCACGTATATAAGGTAATATGCCATAATGCTTATGCTTCTTATAATTTTTACAGCATAATAATGTGTTACAATAGTAACATAAATAATCATTGTCTGTTTTTATGGCTGTTGGAAGACTACATGTAAACAAACTTTTTATATGAGACAGACTTTTAACACTTTTAACAAATGAACAAGTGAACTTAAAATTGTGGTTGGGGTGGAAATGAAAAGATGTGGCATATGTGATACCTGTTTTTCATACATGTTAACTGACATCCAGTATATACATTTTCTTAAATGTGGGAGAATGTATAGATATGGTTAGTATTTAGTCTGTGGCAAATAAGTTACTTGCATTTCACTATAAACATAATAGTGTTTCAAATAAAGTGAGTTATTTAATATTAGTTAAGAAAGTACTTATAACCGGTCTTTTTTAGAACAGAGCTTTCTATGGTAAGAAATGTATGCAAATCATTTCTTAACTACAAAACAAACAATACACTACCTTATTGTTGTGCACAGAGTGAAACAGCTTGGAGAGAACAAGCAGATGGTGAGGGATCAGTTCTGTATTTGACTAATGTTACTGATGTCTTGGACACATTTCAGTCTATTTAGTAACAGTTATTTAATTATTTTCTTTCTGTATCGCTAATTGATTTCATAAGATGGTGCTAAATGTCATTGATTTTTTGTTATTGTGTTATACAGAGCTTACAATTTTATCTATCATGCTATTTAAAACATATACAACAATTCTGAATGTTCATGGGATGTGATTATCACAATGGATGATATTCAGATGATTCACTTCCATACGTCAGAATTTAATATAATGAGGGAACATCTTTACAATTATGCTGTCAAGTTGGAAAAGGTGGTTTGGATTTTTTTTTTCATTTTTAAGTTTTCCACCTTTATTTTTCAACAAATATCCCATATTTTTTCTTCGCGCACACAGACTTTTAGCTTTCTGTTTTTTAATTCACTAGGCTGGAAGAGGCAGCAATAATTGCACTTCTTTCTTTCTTTCTTTCTTCCTTCCTTCCTTCCTTCCTTCCTTCCTTCCTTCCTTCCTTCCTTCCATCCATGCAATGGAAGAGTTAGGTGGACAGTAAAGCACAGTTGGAAGTGATATGATTGTTTCTTGGGCTTTGGAGCTTGGAAGAAAAGAAGAAGAAAGGAAAAACACTGCATACTATATAGCCCTTGCTGATGGCATTGTACAGTCTAAGGAAACTTCAAAGTTGCAGAACCTTAAACTAAGATCTGTTTCACAACAATAATAGTTGAGTTGGGGCTTTGTACTTGTTGCCTTTTAGAGTCATAATGTATCCCTGTCTAAATGCTTAGTGACATCTAGTATGAAACTATTTGAGTAGGGCAATTACCGGTATTTGTAAGTTTGGAATTTTTTTTAGGATTTATATATAATTTGTTACTTAATGAACTAAGGCTCATCATGATTTCTTTGTGATTTCTTTCTTTTGTTTGTATCTTTAAAAAAATTATGATTTATGGATGAAATAAAAACTGAATACATTTGTGACTGTATAAATAAAGTCAATATAGGAATCTAGTGTAGGATAATTAAATATTGCTATTTAGAAAGCAGACATGCTAAAAACCATACAGCAGATCTGTAGTTGGAAACAATATCATGGGACAAAGAGAAATCCTTTCTCCTGTAGAAAAATAGTATACAGTAGTAAACTTCCTAAAATAGAAAGTTTAGCCTCTGACCAAATTTTAGAGATGAGATCAATATTGAAGGAATTTTGTATTTATGTAATTCTAAATTGAATCAGAATTACATGGAGAGGGAAAGGATTCAACTCTCTTTTATCATGGACTTGTCAAATCAACAGTTCTTACAAATATTTTTAATGAATAAAAGAGATGTATATTAACAGAATCATTGGCTTAATGTAGAACATAGCATGCTTGCTTATTGTAAAAAGTTTGTTACTACAGAAGTATCTTTAATACTTATGTGATACAGTATAATTAATGAGATTTTTAACATTGCTTTTGTTAAAACACAGATCAACTATGCAAAAACTGGATTGTATGAAAATTGATACTTTATTTACTCTATATAATAAAATGATAAACTTCACTATTCCGAATCTTCCAAATATATTTATTTTAAACACACTGTAAATAGTGTGTTCTAATTTTCATACAGTACAAAGTTTTGTAGTTTCCATTTACTTTTCTTTTTTGAGCAATGGATATCTAATCAATAAATAATTATAACCATATTCAATTTCTAATATTTATTTCATAGCTTTTTTCATTTGTGTGGCCAATGAAACTGTTAACTATTTTAGCTATGATGAGTCCGTCTATTTTGTATAAAGAATGTGGTAATCTTTGTTTCAAAATAACACTTCCAAGTTATCAGAACTGGCATGTTGTAGTTCTGATTTATGATGTGTTCATGTCCAAGTCTGAAATTAGCTGAAAATGACTTGAAGTGCTGGGAAGCGTTTAAATTATTTTGTATTACTAGACAAAATTACTAGACAAAATTGTTAACTTGATTTCAGTCTTTCCATTTCTTTCTGCCATTTCTTAGACCTTACAGTTTAGGAACTTAATGGTTATTCCCCCAGATCTTCCAAAACTGAAGACTGGCTTCTGGTTTTAGGACCTTCCTATAGTTTCATTTGTTTGCATGAGGTTTTGGCTGTAATGTAGATTGTTTTCTTTATAGAACATGGTTCCCTCTGCAGTCCTCTGGGTTTTCCCCAGTATGGAAAGGAGAAAATTTTTAACTGCAGTCCGCTGATTGGGCATGCACATTTTTTGGCTTACAGGCTTTAGCTTTTATGGATGTTGAAGGAAATAGCCTAAAATCTCACTGTGGCAGGAAGATCGAGGAAGGAAGACAGAGCCTTGGTAGTACAGTGGTCTAAAGCACCCTGTTATTAAGCTGGTTATTAAGACCAGATGTCTGCAGGTTCGAATCTCGCCAGGCTCAAGGTTGACTCAGCCTTCCATCCTTTCTAAGGTAGGTAAATTGAGGACCCAGTTGTGGGAGCAATAAGCTGACTTTGTATAAATATACAAAAGGATGAAGGCTATTGCTTAGCGCATTGTAAGCCGCCCTGAGTCTCCGGAGAAGGGCGGCATATAAATCAAATTTAAAAAAAAAAGATGGGATATTTTGAAAAGGGAAAGGCTATTGCTCCTCAGTTCTGGGATATCTACTACGAGAAAAAGTCTCCTAAACCTTCACTGAACTGGTGACAGTTTAATTAGTTTCCAATTAGCATTAAAAAGGCTGAACTAAAGTATTACTTGGATAATATGTGTTCTATTGCATCTCTCTTTTAGTTTTTATTGTTTGAGAGTAATTCTTTCTTTCTTTCTTTCTTTCTTCTTTCTTTCTTTCTTTCTTTCTTTTTGGTTGCAGAGATTTGTTTAGAGACAAAAAGTAAAACCTAATCTCTCTTGCCTTATATTGATGTATTTTGTTGCTTTACAGAATATTTCTCTGCCTGGTTCAGTTTATGTATTGCAACTAAGAAATAAGATTTTTAAAGGTAGCATTGTGGATTAATTAATGTAATGGCTTCTTTTCCTAAACCATGGGTCTGCAACCTTAAACACTCAAAGAGCCATTTGGACCCATTTCCCACAGAAAAGAAAACACCGGGAGCCACAAAACCCTTCCTATGCCTGACTATTTCTTGAGCGGCCACAAAACTAGCATATGTAGTTGAATTAAACGTTCTGTTTTCTTCTGAAACTTTTCTTTTCTTGGATTTATCCATGGTTGGCCTACCAGGGGTTGAAAAGCTCAATAAATTGCGTGCCGGCGGGTCTCGCACATTGGTGGTTGTGACGCATATTTAGAGTGCCAGGGAGCCACAGCAGAAGGGTGAAAGAGACACATGCGGCTCCAGAGCTGCAGGTTGTTGACCCCTGTCCTAAAACAAGAATAGTTCTTTAATATGTCTTAATCTGGCAATTGTTCCAGTAAATTCATAGACATTTTATCATTCAGACATTGAATCAAATTCGGAAGAGTCTTGTAACTGTCATCTATTCTATCTGTTGCCCAATCCAGGAATTGAGAGCTAAACTATACAACTTTTTCTTGAAGGCCTGCAGATGAGTTAACACATCATTCTGTTAATTTTTTTGTCCCATTGTCCAACTGCTTCTACTGTTAATAGCTTTCTGCCAATGTTCAAGCAAACTCATTAATACTAGTTGAAAAAGTAGTATCCTTTGCTTTCTTGTATGAGTTATAGCTGCTCAGGTATTGAAAGTAACATTATCATCTACATTATATTTTATTATATGTTATATATATTTATATAATAATAAACATATATGTACATAATGTACATGGCTCTTCTTTGTTTTCATTTGACTTTTGTCTTTGGTTTTATTCTTTTCCTTCCCAGCTTCACTCTTTTTCTTTAGGAATTATCTTAATCAGTTTTTTCCCCCTTCTTTGCCTTTTTCCCCCACCAGGCCAAAAAGAACATCTCTATTTTTTTTTATTCATGGACTTTACAGATTAGTAGGATTGTGCAAGTCTTAAAATTTCCAAAGAGATAACTTGGAACAGAGAGTTTGAATTATTATAAAGCACCATCTGAGAAAGATGCTAGAGCATATAATAACGAAATTGTTTTGAAATTGTTTAGTTTGGTGATTAGTGGATTGTGGAAATAATTTCTTTATATTCTGATTAGAAGGCTGATTAAGTATGAGTTGCATGTACATTTATTAGGTGAATGCACAAGTGTTTGGAAAACCACAATTTAAGTGATATCTTATTAAACTGGAGTGATATAGCAAGTAATCCATGAACTGGGGTGATATATCAAAGTTATAAGATTTCCTTTTGGGATATTTTCAACATTTTCATTAATGATTTAGATGAAGAGATAAAGATATAGTTTCAAATTTGTAGATGGCACAGATTACAGAAGTAGATAAAAATGGTAGACAAATTTAGAAGAGGTTAGTGCAGGTTCTTTATCAGAAAGGAAAATAATATGGCC